GAAAAATAAAAGGTATAAATATTAATTACAAAAATGTATTAAAATTAGCTAATGTAATCAGCAAGCATGTCAGTTTTTATTAAATTACTATTAATAGGTTCATCACAAAAGACGCTAGAGTATCCTCCCCCAGTAGCATCTAAACCAAGATCATTATCACAAAGTGGACAATCTCAACCATTGAAAACAGCAAATAAACCACGATCACTTTCACAAACTGCCCAACCTCCACCAACAGCACCTAAGCCAAGACGATCTCAAGATTCATCATCAGCTCCACATGATCCAACAGCAACAGTACTGCAAGATAAGGAGGGGAAGAAAGATCCATCATCATTAGAACCAATGGAAGGATCAATGTCACCAGAATACATTACAATGAAAGAGATGTTAGCTGATCTTGTTGATCTGTTGGCAGGAAATGTTCCAGTTATTTCTCAGTTAAATAATCATCTCTTTTCATCTGATCTCATTCCTAAAGCAGTACATGTTACTGTTGAAAGCACTGCAGGACTCACTCCTTATAATAGATCTAATGAAATATTCTCTTCAGTACTAGCAACACTTGAGTGCCATCCTAATCCTAATAGTGTGTTCTCTTCTCTCATTATGTCACTGCAGAAAGTAGGGCTAAAGAACATGGCATCTAAACTAATAGAAAAATTAAGTAAGATATACAGTATGTTACATTACATTTCTATTATTTATAATAGAAATGAAAGGTGGTCATGTTGATCCTAATCTAGAGCAGCAACCGTCAGTCAGTAAGGGACCACTTCAACCAGTGGATGTCACTGCACAATCTCACACACCACAACCAACAATCACTGGATCACAATCATCTACTCCTACTACTGTGATTGAGCTCAGTTCAAAGAGTGAAGTTGCTGCCAATATTAAAAGTCTTCATTCTCATTTTGCTTCTGTTGATTCTAATATAAGAGATGAGTTTGAGGAGCTGGTGGAAAAGGGTAAAGTGAAGCTTAAAGCTGTAGCTAGGAGTGCAGCAGCTTATTTAAGCATTCAAGAATCCAGTTTGAAACATGGCAATGTTGGTGAACTATTTCATTCTCTTCAGCCTCATTATGATTTCTTCAGTTGTGGAGGTGTACTCAAGTACTTAGCAGAAATGTACCTTTCAACTGCACAAACTGAACTAACTCAATACATTGATAGTGTTGATAAATTCTCAGAATTATCACAATTGAAGCACATACGATCAACAATCAAAGAGAAATTTTCATCATTACTAGCAGCAGCCTCATCAACCACTAGCAATCAAACAAAATCAGTCATTATTAAACTGAATGACAGATGGGAAGAAATGACAATAAGTAAACTCAAGACAGTCCTCAAGCATTACTTTGGTGTAACATCAAATCTCTTCAGTCACATTAGCTTTGATTATGGTTCATTTGTCATTACACTGTTAATACCAACCTCACTATCACAGTCTCTTATTGATGCTATCAATAACAAAACAAACTCAATGAGTAGATTAGGAATATTGGAAGTTGCTGTTGACAATAAAGCAATTCCTATCAGAAGAAAGGATGATAACAATTTTGACATTTTGCTCCATAAATCAGTTAAAGCTTGTGAATTTTTTGAAGTATTAATGCTACTGCAGTTAGGAGCTGCTCCTAACAGTAAAGATGAGAGAGGAAAGAGTGCAGTAGAGATAGCTAATGAAGGAGGATACACTCAAATAAAAGAAATACTATTAACTGGTGGAGGTGAGTTATTTGATACTACCGTATAGCGGAAAATTTTGGAGGGACTAAAATTTGGCGAATTGCTAAATTTTGGTGATTGGCGGATTTTAATTTGGCGAATTGGTGGCCACGTGCCATTGAGCATGCGTATAATGGCTCAAAATGGCGGGTTTAATTTTGGCGAATGGCTGTCAAAACGCCAAATTCGCCAAATTTAATTCCCTCCAAAATTTCCCGCTATACGGTAATATTAAGATACACACATAATATACCATTAATACAGTAAACCCTCTATTAACACTCTCTATAGTGCACACCTCCTAATGGACAGCACCTAGTGTACCAATTACATTCCTTACTGTATAAAATAACCTCCACATAAAGGACACCTCTGTATAACAGAGACACTTTCACGTCCCATTGTATAGAAGTACCAGTGATTGAGTTTGACAATAAAACTTTATAAAAACAATTCACAAAACACAATAAAAACTACCAAAAATCATAGTCAGTAAAAATGTAAGTTATCATATAGAATTTTCTGCTCTAAAAAAAGAGAAAGAATGAAAAGAGAGAAATATCATTTAAATGCAAAAATTCAAAACAGATAAATAATACCAGATACATGTATATGGTATATGCTTACATTAGCTTGTGCTTTGAAGTTGACTAGCTGGCATAATGGACCAAGGACTATAAAAAGAGAGAGAAAGAGTGAAAGAGAGAGATGGAGGGACAATAATTATTGATTTCAACATATTAATAAAAAGTATAATTGATTTTTGTTTACTGTCACGTTTAGCATGATAAAAGATAGACCACACCCATTCCATCCTAGCAGCTGTAATGACTTACTGGTACAAAAACCAGCATCACCTGGAACAATTAACACACAAACAAGCATCATTAATAAAATAATATAATATAATTATTATTATTTATATTATATGCCTATTATACTGTATTAAAATAATAATATACACACATTAACAGACTGACTGTGTTTATTAATAGGAGAAGAGACTAGAGAGGTGAAGTGGACCAGTTTTGACGCATCCCTCACTAAACCATCAGCAAGTCAATGTCAGGAAGTGATCAGTCAATTAACAGACAGTCATCCGTACATTCACCTCTATCACTCATCACCTGATATTGTATACCTATTGATGTCACTAGCACTAGAGATAAAAACAATAAAGTGTATTGGTATACATAACACTAAAATAACAAAAGATGTCATCCTCTTACTGTCACACAAAATAACAAACAATACTTCATTAGGGATATTATCGATCAGTAATGATTCCATCAATGATGATGGAGTCATTGCACTAACACAATCATTAATTAATAATAAAACAATTACTGGCTTATTTCTTAGTTACAATGCTGACATCACTTCAACCAGTGCTCAGTCACTAGCTGAACTTTTACTGTACAACCACACACTATCTGCCCTTCATCTCAACCATACTAACATTGATACTGATGGAGTACTGGTACTGATGGAATCTCTCAGGACCAATAATACACTAAGGATACTATATCTAGACAATAAACATAAACAAACTTGTTATTCTTTACCTTATTATAAAACTATTGAAAGCAGATTACACTTTGAGTAATTATTTCATATACATATTAGTTTAATAATAAAAAATTATTTTTATTAAATGGAGGGAAAAATTTATGCTGCCACATTGACCACGCCTCTCATGCCAAAAACATATGAAAATTATTCACATGAGGAAGAGAGAGACTGAGAGAAAGAGTGCAGTACAGCAAATGTAATAAAAATTTGAAGTCATGAATTTTAATAAACCCATTGCTCAAAAACTACATTGTAGGCAAAACTGATGAAAAAAAAGATTTTGACAAATTGTTAAATTTTTGGTGATTGGCAGGTTTTAATTACCATGTAATTTTAATTACAAAACTGTCACCTCGAAATTAATCATGTTTATCAAGTTTCATCATGTGCATAAATCAAATGTCAGGATTTATTCTGTCAAAAATTTCCCTCTAAAACTACTACATATAGCTACATGGTACATGGTACATGTATATGTATATATTCCTGCTATGAAGAAATACTCACTCATTGACTGACCTCTTGGAATGACTTCTTCTCGTATCTCTCTTCTCCATATCCTGATCTCTTGAGTCCCTCCTCTGATGAGAGATGAAAGTAGAATATAACATCAGGACAGGGCAGACCTCTATCAGGATCTTTACGCCAATCAACTGATGCACCTATCAAGACAATGATTTTGGACTTATTATTTTGGACTTTGTCTATCCCATAATAATACCAACAACCAAGAGTGCATGTATAAATGTACATACATGCAATACCTAAAGTGTACTTTAATGGAGTATAATAGAGTAAATGGCTCCAAATTTTTATTAAATTTTCTGATAAATATTGATGTCCTTATGCTATGCAGCAAGTTTGAGCAGATTCTGACTTTAATTTCTTGAGTTACAGCCATTTTAAGAAAGTGCTAAAATTCTAAAAAGTACCCAAGACTATATAGCCCAAGGTTTTGTCCAAAAAATTGCCCCAAAATCACCCCCCCCCCAATTTTTGTTACATTTTCTGACTTTTATTATATAAATATTAGCTGATTCCAACAAATGGCCATTTTAAGAAATCAGCCTATTTCAAAAAATATATGCATATTAGATGCTTTTGTTTTCCAAAAATTTGCTCTAAATTTGCTTTATTTTTATACACATCAAAAAAATTTGAAGGGGTAAGGAGTTAAATTTTTGGCAAATTGCAAAATTTTGGTGATCAGCAAAATTTAACTTCGCCACGTGCCTCAAAATAATGGCTCAAAATGACAGATTGTTATTTTGAAAATTGGCTATGAAAACACTGTTTACCTCTCTTTAATATTTCCTGCTGTTTGGTACTTTCAATGCATGTACATGTACATTTCCTTTTTAGCAGCTGTAAAAGTGACACTTGAATGTGCATATCTGTCAATAACTAGTGTTGTACCTCACTTCAAATCTCAACACATTCCAGCCCTAATGAGAGAGAGAGAGAGAGAGAAATCCAATTATCCAACAATTATTGTTCCAAATTAAAATTACATTAATTTTGATGCTAAAATTAATACTCCAACAAACAAATTAAAAATGGTTAAACTTGATTCTTTTGTTACTAAAATTAACATCCTAAACCATACGATCTAATTTTAGAAACAAATCCATTTTAACTTGTGCTAATTTTAGTAACAAAAATCTAAAATTAGAATTCTTACTCCAGCTCCCATCGATTGGCCGAAAACAATAAATGAATGACATGATCGTCCATGTTTAAATTATTCTTCAAGTAATTATCGATCTGACTCCCAGTAACTGGTGCACTCCTATCTAAAAACTTAAAGAAGGGGGACACAGCTGTAGTGTTTTGTTTTATATTGAAGTTGCCTTGCTCTATTTGTAGCTAATAGTTGATACTACATATACACAATCGATAAACTCATATATGATTATTAAATTCTCTCTTTTTTAGTTTCTGTTGTCAGTAGGGCAGAATGAGAACTGTGACATTACAGTAGCAGGTTACTGGTATGTGGTGTTTGAACCAGAAGATATTTCTCTTCCTCCTGCTTGTACTGGGCCCTCTCGTCTCTATACAACCAGCCACTCCCTTTACTATTATAGTTTGTTGTATTTTATCAAAACTTTTAGTTTGATTTAGCAAAATTATTCATTTTTTAACTGTCACATTATATTTGCATACGTTTTGCAATGCTTCTTCATTGTAAACTGCTAAGCTGCTACATTAATCTTTGCAGTCACCTATTAATTTGGTTATTAGTAATTTTATTTAAAGCTGATTATTTATTTACTCCTATGTAACCAATACGCATTAATGTTTTCATGCTGTGTAAAAAGTTTGGGCTGATTTCAATCAAAATTAGATTTTTTTTACTAATTTTTAAAGTTTGCCAAAAATCAGGCCAAAGTCCCTGTACTATAGTACAGGGTCGTTGGCCAAATTTTGTCAAAAATGAAAAGTAGAGAATTCTCAATTTTTATTACATTTTATGATGCATATAGTTATTATGTTTTGTATAAAGTTTGAATTGATTCCGATCAAAATTAGATTTATTATTAATCTTTAAAGTTGCTCCAAAATTGGGCCAGAGTCCCTGTACTAAAACAAGAACATAAAAAATTTTTTAAAAACAAGATGAAGTAGGATTCTAGAGCAAATTTGTAAAAAAGTAACAGAAACAAGGACAAGTAAGATT